CTTGTCACAGTTGATGAAGAGAGCAAATTGAATTTAGGCTACAAATACGGAAAAATGTAAATATTTTGTACAGCTTTTTTTTTTTGTTTTTAATTCTAGGTATTCCCATAAATTTTGATGTAAAGATGTATCATCCTTTAAAACGTCCTTGATGTGAATTAGAGTTCGAAAAATGATAAATCTTTGATGGGCAATGAGCATACCCTACCCTTCACATTTAGACCACATTAAACCAATGGCCTCTTTACACTGACAGTTCTGCTCTGGGAGTGTAAAGAAGTTTCTGTGTGTCTGCAAGTTGCTCTCATCTACATTTCTTTTATCATAGCTTATGCACTGCTCATAAAATTAATCCTCACAGTATAAAACACCAAGTCAGGTCAACTTCATGGATATCAGTGCATCCAGGTAGGAAGCATAAACCAATCTGAATGCAGTTCACCTGCTTCGGTGCAAAACAAAAGTGATGACAGTAGTGTGACATGGTGGTGCAGTGTGTAGCAGAAGGTTTCTTGTTTGAACCCTAGGTGGAGATTTATGGAGTTTGCATGTCCTTGCTGAGAGTGTGTGGTTCCTCCAGGTGCTCCTGCTTTCGACCCCCCAAAAACGCATGTTAGGTCGTGGTGGTGATCGAAATGAGCCTGGCAGTGTATAGAATAAAACACTGTATGAACATGTGGCTAAAATGTTGCTGTGAGTGTTCATTGAGACTACAGATATATATAAACGCAGGTGTGTTACTGATGCACTAGTTAGGCAACAGCAAGACAACAGAATGACTTTACAGGTGGCGCCGGGAGATCTTTGCTCTCCGTGGTCTGATTGAGACTTCTGCACATAACATGACGATAGTTCAGCTCTCATGATGCACTGAGTGTTTCTTCCTGTTAAAGGGGAGTTTTTTCCTTCCCATTGTCACCATTTGGTCAAATGGGCTTACTGATGTTGTCAATTGGCGCTATATAATTGAAACTGACTGAACTTGTATCACTTGGGACACAAGTGATACAAGTTGCTCAAATTATGTGGCAAGTAAAACAAATGTCTTCAGATTATTTATTGTAAATAAAAAGAATTCATCTCCTACGGGCTTTAAGATTTCAGAAAAAGCTCAAACAGCACATTATTCCACAGTGAAGTTACCATATTTTATTTCTTTAAGTGCCATTCATGCATATTGGGGAAGGGGGTGGGGGTGGGCGGTGGTATCGACAATTCTAATAACACTTGAGTTATTTTACAGCACTAAACGAATACAAAGAGTAGCTGTGTCACCTCATCGGACAACAAAAGTAATAAACCGTGCAATAAACAAAAACGAAGACAAATATAGGAGGGAAAAAATTACAAGAAATGACAGAGACAAAATCAAAAAAACGGAAAAATAAAAACACAAACCAAATATATATTATCAACACTGAAACACTGAATGTAGAACCATAGTACAAGTAAAAGGTAGTGTCACACAAAAAGCCAACGCATTTTTTTTTATCACATATATACAATATAGATATATACATACTGTCACCCTCTGATTGGACAATAACAAAATACTCTATTCTTCTCCCTTCCTCATTCATGGATAAGACCCACCCTCTGCCTTGATACCCCACCCCCAAGAGGGGAAAAAAAAAAAAAAAAAAGGGATGGGGGGGATGATTGAAGACATATATGTACAAGCACAACAACACCAGCACTGAATAAAACAGGCCCCAATCAGCAGTAGATGTTGGCAGTTCTCTCCCATTTTGTAACAAGACTTTTTTTCCCATTATCTTTCCCCCCCAATAATAATAATAATAATAATAACAATAATAATCTCTCTGGCAGGTACATGTCCAGCGGTATTTAAAAACTTAAATCATCATCTTGGAAAAAAAAAAAAAATAGAACTTAAACTCCCACAAGCGAACACACTCACTCAGACATAATGTAAAACTGATTGTGATCCAGTCATTGTCAACACCGTTTTCTTTTCCCTTTCATCCGCTCGATCAAATCTTCTGCTTTTCCTGCCGGATGATGTGCTTTTATAGTACTATACGCGTTCACCGTCTTCGCCTGGAAGAAACGAAACACTCCATTTTCACTCCAACCAACGGCTCGCTGGATGTTCTCCATTTCAGGCCCTTAAGATCATCGAAGAACAAACACAATTCTCCTTTTTTGTTTTTATTTTGTTGCTGCTGTCTTCGGTTGCAGTCCTTTGGCCCACACTCACCCAAAAGAGTCATGAACTGGTTAACTCAGGTGGCTTAAGCGTCCTGTCTGAGTCCTAATTTTGAAAATTCCCGGCAGTTGAATAAAGCGATCCTCCACAATCAGCAGACATTTGATAAACAAAGGGAGAAAAGGAACATGGCAAGAATGATGCAAAAGTATACAGGTGTGTGACTGGCAGGGGGAAAAAACAAAACAAAATAAAAGCTGAAATTAAAAAAACAACAACAACAACAACAACAATTTAAAAATAAAAATCAATGGCAGTATTATTAGTTCAAAGAAAAGAACTCAAGTTCTTCTGCACAGTGCAGCTCTGGTCAGTTTAATAGAAGGTCTACAGTATAAAACCAGGCTGGTAATAGATTCAAAAAACAAAACAAAAACACACCTATGTATTCAGAAGCATGGCTTTCCACCATCCAATTTGGGGGGGAAAAAGAAGAAAAAAAAAAAGAGACTTGAAAGTGCCTTTTTACACAATAAGAAAAAACATTTCGCAATATCATAAAATCATAAAAAAGAATCCATGATTGTCTTCCAAGTGTAAAATCAAAACTATGCCTACTACTGCAGTCTTTGTTGCTTAACTGTCTTGAAGAAATCGTTTGAAATTCTGGGATAGTTTGACATCTCTTCCACTTTCTAGCTGGGTTTGATGAGAATATTACGCGTCCATATGGTAAATATGATGCCAGAGTGCAGGATTTATACGGTGGCCCTGAGAGGTCAAACACACTGCAACTTAAGAAAACCGGCACAAAGAAAAATCTTGAAATCTCAAAACACAGCGCAAACGCTTTTAGGGAGAAAATAATGTGAAGGATCAGCTGCAGAAGTGACAGAAACCAAAACAGGCCGAATGCACCGAGACGTGTTTAAAAGCGGAGGATTCATCGGTGTTGTGAGGGAGAAAAGGATGCAGCTAATGTGTCACGTGACTCATTATAGGATTCTCTTCCACAGGCCTTTAGTGTCAGAAGGCCTTCCTCCTTGAGCCTGGTTCAGCTGGAGGTTACTTCCTGTTAAAAGGGAGTTTTGCCTTCCCAATGTTCCCAAGTCATTGCTCAGTGAGGGGGTTGTATGATTGTTGGGGTCTTAATCTATATTATTGTAGGGTCTTTACCTTACAATATAAAGCACCTTAAGGCGACTGTTGTTGTGTGGCGCAATATATATATATATATATATATATAAAACTGATGTGAATTCAATTAATTTCGTAGATACACGTTTACTCTTAGCCGTCTACTGTCAGCTTGTCACTGCTGCAGCTGTTCCGTCACATCACTATGTCCCAAAAACACTTCCACTGCGTTTTGTGAGTTGTTTTTTTTGGTAATCTTTTGTGGCATTTTCTATTATAGTTGTGTTTTGTGTGCTTTAGCAGCGTTTTTCTATTTGCTGGCATTTCTCAAATTGCAGTGCCTTTGACCACAGCAAACTATGAAAAAAAAAGTAGTGCAACAAATCTTTCATTAGCAATGAATGATGTCGCAAAACCCAGAAGGAGACAGAAAGTTGTGAAACGTTTCTAAAAAAGATGTTGGACAAGAAGTAACAAAATTTCTTTTGGTGCAAAACAACTGTAATAATTATCTGAACTCCATAAACTGGGAATATGTACAAAAATGCAAAAAGATTGTGTTAACTACCAGCATTTCTGTGTCTCGGTAGCTTCATATTTACCATATTTAATTAAGGTTGGTATCAATTTCAACATCCCAAAATATAGTGTCATAGATGTACAGAGGACAAAAATAATCCTGTTCATTGTTTCTAGATGTCAGGAAGACTAAAAGTGAAATGATGGATAGGTGAATGAATGACTGAACTAATATGAATGATTACTCGATCCACACGGTTCTTTGCAGCTTCAATCAGATGAGTAAACAAAAAGTGTGCAAAGAACTTGAAAACAACAAAAACAAAAAAAACATAGTGTCTCTAAAGTTCAGCGCCTGTCTGATTAAGGAGCCACTTGTTACAGGACACAGTGGACAGGTTTCCAGAACCACCGATTTCCCTGTTCTGTGCTTCAGAAACCCTTTTCCAAGAAAAAGTCTAAGTCAAATCTACTCTTTAAGCACTGTGTGCATCTGCTTTGTGCTCATAGATAGCATAGAGATGATTGCAGTAATCAATCATAGCCCTAAAATTACAATAAAACCCCACACACACACACACACACACACACACACACACACACACACACACACACACACACACACACACACACACACACT